GTAAGATTGAAATTTAGTTATCGAGGGAACCAGGAAAATGTAATATTTATTGTAATTTAGATGAACCAGCTGAAAAAGACATAATACCTGCCTTTGCCAAAAACTAATCAGCATATCTTCCTGTCAATAGAAATCGAATGCATTTTGAACCATTCAAATCGGTTCATCCGTGTGCCTGAAAACGTGAACGAAAAATTACGGACACACAAAACACACACACACACATCCATTTTTTCTGAGGCATGCCAAAATGTTCAAAAACCTTCAAAACAGTAACATTTCCGATTTTCAGCCCATTACTATAACTACCCTATGGGAAGTTAATAATGACGAAAACCTATTTTTCTACTTCGTGAAAAACTTTCACCTTATTTTCAATATTGTAGTCAAGGAAAAAGCAAAATCGCAAAATTACAGGCTATTAGCCTCCTCAATACAATGAGTAAAGTGACTGAAAAGTTACTGCTCAAACCACTCTACGAAAGACACAACAAAATCATGCCAGACACCCAATATGGATTTAAAGAACAGCACTCTACACTTGAAAACGCCATATTCAACTTCAACAGACAAAACCATACTTACTTATTACTTTTTATTGCCGACGTAAATATATGAAAAATATTGAAATCTTAAGTTTTTCATACATTGAAATATATTAGTCAGAACTTATACGGCAATATATAATCAATAATAATAATTATTGTTTTATTCGGCGCGTTGGATTTTTTATTATGACTAATGAATATATATATACCTATATACAAGATATAAATAAATTTTGGTTTTTAATAAATATTTCCATACTTATATACATAATTTGTCGAGACGCGCGATAACAAAGCAACTTTATATGGGTGTTCTTCGCGTATTAGCTTAAGTTTTTCCAACTTTTCACCCAAAGTTCCACTTAGATTTAAATGAATTTTGAATAACAGAAGAAAAATGTACAGGCTTTCGAATGATTCTAATATAAAAGTAGTGTCCAAAGAGCCGCACTGGTAGGAAATGGAAAATGAAAAATTATTTGCACCTTTTCATGCACTAATAAATAATTTTTTCACATTATTTGTTATGAACAACATAGACAAGATCAGTGTAAACAGAATGACGTTAACATTTTTTCGAAATCTCTTATATTTCCGACAAAAAGTGAGTTTGAAAAAAGGGGTCACTTTCACATGTTTTCACTGATATCTCGGCCAAATGATGAGCTACGGATTTGAAATTTGGTCTTTCGAATTTTCTCGAAAATACCTATAAATCATTTAAATACCAGGGTGAGGCCAATTCTATATGGAAACACGCCCAGACCCTTTATATATATAATTATATGATTTAGTAGTTAATTTTGATGTTGAAATATATGAGTGAGTTCTTGAGGGCGATACATCAAACAAAGAAAAGCCAAAGATTTATAAAATAATCTTTATTTCCAAACGTTTCGACATTCAATTTAATGTCATCATCAGTGGATCTAAAAACAGTATGAAAATTAGTATATCTAGGTAATTATAATATATGTGGATTGGTAAAGTAACTATACAATAAGAGAAAAATTAACAAACAGCAACACTTAACAACAAACCAAATATAAAAGATAGGAAAGGTAGTAGAGACTGGAATTAAATAAATAATTAAAAAGTATAGGCAAAAATATTTAAGTACACTCATGTAAACCTTGCAATGATTGCCCTTCTACTTACATAGGTGAAACCGGACAAAATTTAATAAAAAGACTCAAACAACACGACAATAATTCGAAAAACCCCAACCAAAACCAAACTATGATAACAGAACACATAAAAAATTTCAAACACTCCTTTAATTTTTATAATGCCAGTATTCTCTACCATGAACGGAACACCATTCAGAGACGTTTTGCAGAATCTTGTTTCATATCAATATGTGACCACGTGGTGAACAAAAGATCGGATTCCTCCTTACTCTGCGATAACTACCAAGTAATACTAAATAATGTTTCCAAATTTATTTCCCCTGAACAAAACTAATTGACCTTACTAACCTTGCCAACACTTCCTAGTTTAATTTCGGCCTTGATACCCGAGCTTTACCTACCTATACATAGCAAATTTTGAATAAACCTTAAAAATTTGTTTATTTTAGATTTTTGAGTCATTAGTATAACTACTTAGTAATACTAAATAACATTTCCAATTTTTTTCTCCTAATTCTAACCATACAAACCTAGCCTAACATTACTAGTTTCAACTTCCGACTATTTTCTACCTACCCTCCCATAACAATCCTGGAATGACCCTTAAAAATCTCTCAAAACATGTGGTGGCTTTTATACATGCCTCGGTACTAGCAAAGTACAGAAGTCGTGGCAGAAATTACATAATTCTACTTACATTATTGTTCAATAAAACTATCATTTTTCTGTTTACATCATACAAAAAAATTATATAAAAAAATGCATAGTGCTGACAAGTTAGTTGTATAAATGTTAGTGCCAATCTCTAGTGCTGTGTACACTTCTCTATATGTAACCAACCAACGTAATGTAAGTCCACTTGTATTTTATATTTTATATGTATTATCCATCTTCATAAATAATTTGTTTGCTTTACATATATACGAGTTTACATATATTGTATGTTTATATATATATATATATGTATTTGTATGTATGTATGTATATATATGTATATTACTTATTTACATGTATATTTGTATGTATGTGCATATATATATGTGTATATATGTAATTGTATATACGTATATATGTATGTATGTATATGTATATATATATATATATATGTATATGTATATATGTGTATATATATATGTATATATGTGTATATATATATATATATATATATATATATTTGTGAGCATTTATGTACATATGTATATATATGTATTGTGTGTATATATATATATATATATATATATATATGTATATATATATGTATATATATGTGTGTATATATGTATATATACATGTTTATGCGTATATATATGTGTATACGTGTATAGCTATAGTTACATAGATAGGTATGAGTATATGTATGTTTCATACATGTACATGTACGTCGTTGTGAATATGCATGCACGTTGCATATATGTATATACGTATATTTATATATGTATAGTCGTACATGTATATGTATACATATATAGGTATATATTGTTGTATCTGTATATGTATATGTGTATTATATGTTTGCATGTGTGTGTATATGGATATATGCATGTATATATATATATGTATATATATATGTGTGTATATGTGTACGTATATATATGTATATATGCGTAGGTTTACATGAGTGTACTTAAATATTTTTGCCTATACTTTTTAATTATTTATTTAATTCCAGTCTCTACTACCTTTCCTATCTTTTATATTTGGTTTGTTGTTAAGTGTTGCTGTTTGTTAATTTTTCTCTTATTGTATAGTTACTTTACCAATCCACATATATTATAATTACCTAGATATACTAATTTTCATACTGTTTTTAGATCCACTGATGATGACATTAAATTGAATGTCGAAACGTCTGGAAATAAAGATTATTTTATAAATCTTTGGCTTTTCTTTGTTTGATGTATCGCCCTCAAGAACTCACTCATATAATTATATATACACCTAAGTCTGTTTTTACACGGTCTTTTTGTACACGGTTTTGATATAACACGGTTTGAAAATTGAATATTTTTAATTTTTTTACACGATTTTATTCCATTTAGCACGATTTGAAATTTTATGTACTTAAAGTTTTTTTGTCAAATTTAATTTTTGCGAAGTATGTTCATATCACAAAAAAGTATTTATAAAAGAAAAAAGTCTGAAACCATCGATAGTATCGATAGTATCGATAGTTTGCGAACACTAGCTTAGCTTAAAGATTTAAGTGAATTCCCCTTTAGCGCGTACAAACAATTTTTACTGGTCAAAGCAAATGTGAATAGCACTAATTTAGGGGAATTATTATTAAAATAAACATGAATTCTTGTTTTTCACTAATTTTAATAGGTTTTAGAGAGTAGGACAAATCACCCATTTTTGTATAAGATCAATGTCTTTTTTTACACGGCTTCTTCTGGAACCAATCTCCGTGTAAAAACAGACTTAGGTGTATATATATATATATATATATATATATATATATATATATATCTTCTATATATATAAAAATAAGTCGGGTTTTCCTTCCTGTTGGAAAGGTCTCGGGTTCCGCAAGGTTTATAGCTAATAAAATTAGTGGTGCATGGCATCGTGCCTTAATGCAAGCTGCTGGAACTTCACGCACCGTAATTAAAAATTCGAGTAATGACATTAGTTAGAATTATCAGAATTGTGCTTGGTTAAGTCAACGAGCAATTCTTGCCGCAAAGAATAATGATGTACACGCACTGAATTTCACCATTCAATCAAAAATTGCTCGCGATTTGGAGACATACCAATGATTCTGACTGGTCTTCCGTTTGACTTCAAACGATTGCAATTTCCAGTTCGCCTTGCGTTCGCAATAACAAGTCGCAAGGCCAATCGCTTAGTGTTTGCGGGATAAATTTCAAATAGATTATTTAGAAATTCATTGTTTTTAACATAGGCAGTTATACGTTGCCTGTTCACGAGTTGGAAAACCATCCGCTTTGTTTGTGTTAACGTCAGAACAAAAAACAAAAAAATGTGATTTACCAAAGAGCACTTCAATGAAACGGATAATTTGCGGATTCACTATCATTTACTTAGAGAAGTTCAACAAAAAACACTTCATTTTTGTAATCGAAATAAATTCATTACTGTTGTATAATAAAATCAAATTTTTCCTTTTCAAATATAAAACAAACAAAAAATTTCTTCATCTTTCTCACGAAACCATCTGGTGGCGAAACGGAGTTCGTCGGGTTTGCTACTATATATATATATATATATATATATATATATATATATAAATTAAATAAGATTAATGTTTGCAACATTTTATATGTTAATGGTTTTGATATGAGATTTGATATTTTAATATAAGAAGAATCATATAACTTTTACAAACAAATTGTCAGAAAATAAATAATATTATCACAAACGCCAACCTTTAAACTTCTCAATAATCTTCCCTCTTCAACTCTGATTGATGTTCAGTTCGATGGCGTACACATGACATCCTCCCATGCATAGCTGGATTTTTGCAAAGACTTCCTTTTCGAGTTATTGCTTCACATAATGTTCGATTCAAATCAGATACACTTGGCGTTAATCTAATAGATACAGTTATATATATATATATATATATATATATATATATATATAATATGTTGAAAGTGTTTAAATATAAACTAGTGGGGTGTGTGGCATCGAGCTTTAAGGCAAATTGCTGGTACTTCCCGTACCGTAACGAAATGTTCGAGGAATACTGAATGTTTTCAAATAGATTATTATTAATATAGTAACATTGTCCAATATTTATAAGAATTCTATAAACTGAATTGCAAAGTTGAAATTATTTGTTTAAAGTATATTAGAACTATAGTCAGAATTAGTTTTTTGTGCGATAGATCATCACTACATAGTGTAAATACATGTAAAATATTATTAAAAAATATTGCATGCTTTTGTGATGATCCAAATTTAACTACAAAAATGTCGAACAAATTTTACATGTTAATGATTTAATTAAATACCTTTTACATCCTGAGTTTGAAGTCTCGGCTCTAGAAACTGGAGGTGTATAATCTGGCAATGAATTTAAATGATCAAATTCGTAAAATGAATTAGTTTCCTTTGAAAGCTCCCTATGAGAATCCTTTAAAGCATAGTAAGCTGTAAAATTATTTTCAATACCAGATCTGTCGACAATATCTTCTACCTTGTTTGATTTCAATGTGTTGCCTTCAGCAATTTTATCGTTTAAACTTTTTATTGTACATGTCGCATATTTTTCCATTGTTTTCAGTATCGCGAGTCGACCTATCTTGAAATAAATTAATTATTGAGTAAATTATAACTGTAATAAAACTACTATATTATTGAATCATTCACCTATTAATGCAAATATGATCAAAACAGTCATTTCTTTCATATTCATTGGTTTTATGTTCATCATGTTCTTACAATTCTCAAGCGCGATATTGGATATTACAATAGTGAAAATTATAATTCGTGATTTAACTGATAGATTTAGAAATGAAGCAATTATCATTAAAATAGGAATATAAAATATATATGAAAATATAATAAGAAGCATATCCATAGTACAACCTGAAATAAACAACTTTTGTCAATATTCTTGAACATAAAAAATGCTTCATTCGCATTAATTGTCTTACTATTCTTATATGCATTGAGAGATTAGAATTTCCTCAACCAACATCAATTACATTAAATAATGCGCATAATATATCTTGGATTAAAATAAATGTAGTTTGTTTTCATTTTTGAGGACAGTTGTTTGAACCACATAAGTGAACTTTAAACATCATAATTCTTGGTGTGGAACCCAAACGAATGATAATTGGAATTATTATTAAAAATTACCAATTATTATTAACATCTCTTTAAAATATTTGATAATTTGATGTGAATAATTTTGTAATTTTTTACTACTGGCACTGTCTTAAAAATGTAAAATGCTTTTTGAATCTGGAAAAACTGAATTTCCGTTTTTTGCAATTTTTGCGCGGTCCGAAACGGTTGGACCTGTCTTTGTCAAAAACTAATTAGCACGTGTCCTCGTCAATACGAATCGAATAGATTTTCAATTTTACTGGCTCATCGTATGCATTTTACATCTAACTTTATGTTACAGTCAATATTAAAAATCTTAGCTCATATTAATTATATTAAAATTATAGATATTTTAAATAATTTTAACATTTTTTATTTATTTATTGTGTTGTTACAAGATAGATTACAAAAATGTATAAAAGTTGATGCTGCCGAAATCTATTAAAAATTATACTTGCACTTTTTATTTATATTTTCGAAGGACCAGATGTATTTAGATAATGGCTTTATCGGACCGATTAAAAGATGATAAGTAATTTAATAATTGTATATTTAAATGAAATAATACGATGTTAAGATTTATATGTGATATGTTATATAGTTGAGATAATACACTTGTTGCTTAGTTTAAGTTTGAATGAATACTTTTAATTTTAATTCTGGCAAAAGTTCTAAAGCTCACATATATACATACTTTAAATAAATAATTTTAACTTTGTAATTCATTTTATATCATTCTTATACCCAACTAGCAAACCCGACGAACTCCGTTTCGCCACCAGATGGTTTCGTGAGAAAGATGAAGAAATTGTTTGTTTGTTTTATATTTGAAAAGGCAAAATTTGATTTCATTATACAACAGTAATGAATTTATTTCGATTACAAATGTGAAGTGTTTTTTAGTTGAACTTCTCTAAGTAAATGAAAGTGAATTCGCAAATTATCCGTTTCATTGAAGTGCTCTTTGGTAAACCACATTTTTTGTTTTTTGGTCTGACATTAACACAAATAAAGCGGATGGTTTTCCAACTTGTGAACAGGCGACGTATAACTGCCCATGTGAAAAACAATGATTTTCTAAATAATCTATTTGAAATTTATCCCGCAAACACTAAGCGATTGGCCTTGAGACTTGTTATTGCGAACGCAAGGCGAACTGGAAATTGCAATCATTTGAAGTCAAACGGAAGAACAGTCGGAATCATTGGTATGTCACCAAATCGCCAGAAATTTTTGATTGAATGGTGAAATTCAGTGCGTGTACATCATTATTCTTTGCGGCAAGAATTGCTCGTTGACTTAACCAAGCATAATTCTGATAATTCTCACTAATGTCATTACACAAATTTTTAATTACGGTACGTGAAGTTCCAGCAGCTTGCTTTAAGACACGATGCCACCAACTAATTTTCTTAGCTATAAACCTTGCGGAGCCCGAGACTTTCCAACGGATGCAAAATTGTCGAAATCGGTTCGTGCGTTCTGAAGTTATTTCGTCAGGAAGGAAAACCCGACTTATTTTTATATATTTAGAAGAAGAAGATAACGAGATGATTCAAGTTTGGGAGTATTTTTTCCAACAAGTATATTTTCACACCGAAGGCCAAAAACTCCAATCAATCAAAATTCAAAACACTTTGAATTAATTTGAGCAACTATGGTTTTTGACTACAAATGACAACGATTTAGAACGTTGTGTGAAGGATAATTTACACAAATTATCCTTTGTGCTTAGCCCTCTTCTGAAGCCATATTGGCTTTTAAATAATATTTTATTTTCTCTACAAGCCACTCTAATGTTCTTTTAATAATTAAATCTTTGGTTTTAGCAACACACGATGCTAGTGATATGAGTCTGTAAATATCTGTATTTTCTGCATTCTCATTTGGCATTTTAAACATAATTATAATATATTTAATCTAGTCTAACTAGTTCTGTATCCAATCAATACTTATTAATTAATTTTTAACTTCCCGTAGGGCAAGTTATAGTAATCGCAAAAAAATCGATAATAAAAATTTTTTATATATCTTCACGTTTCAGAGGTTTCTGAATATTTTGGCATACCTTACAAAAAATGGATGTATGTGTGTGTGTGTTTAGATACAAATTTTCGTCGACGATTTCGGGATTTAAATAATTCAAAAAACATTAGATTCGTACCGATAAGGAGTTTTTGGCAAAGGCAGGTCTAGCCGTTCTGAAGATACGGGGCAAAAAGTGCCAAAAACGGTAACACGGTTTTTAAGAGAACGGAGCGTTCGATTTTAAAAATTCAAAAAACATTTTACTTGTATTAACAAGATGAAGAACTGATCAAGGCAGGTCTAGCGGTTTCGGAGATCAAGTAAATAAAAGTAACAAAAAATGCCATTTGGCGGTCAAAAATGATCATTAGACATATGTACATCAAGTTATCAGATATTTTAACAATAAGTATAAATTTTGTTCACATTCCTATGGGTTCCGTACCAATGTTTATCCGTTAGAAAACGGCGCGGCGCTTACGCGCTTCGATAATTCGTCTCTATGCATTCAAAGCAGTACGATTGCTTTGTAAAAAGGTCATTATTTCCGTATGTCAAAATAAAGAAAACATTTTTTTTCAAAAAAAAATTTTTTTTTACAAAAAAGTAATTTTTTGTCATAAATTTAATTTTTTCGAAGTAAAATTTTTTTCAAAAATGTTAATCGTTTTTAAAAAAATAATAATTTTTAATACGGAAAGTTCTAGCAATTTGCCTTAAGGCACGATGCCATGCGCCCCACTAGTATTAACACTTCTTTACCTATGTTTGGTAATTCTGATAACATAACATAATGAATATTATCTTTTCGTGGTGAAGTGCCTTTTCTCTTGTCCATTGCAATCTCCATTTCCCATTTATTAAACGTATGTTTTTTGAATCATTCAAATCGGTTGATCCGTATTCTCGAAATCGTCGACTAAAAACTGTATCCGCACATGCATACACACACGCGTACATCCATTTTTTCTCCAGTTATTAGAATTTGATTTTTTGTGAATACTATTACTTATTTAAATTATTTAGCACGATGAATATAATTTTAAATATAATTTAAAATTATTTGCAATTGATAAATGGCGAAGACCATAATTTGATATAAATGAATATTTACCTAACCTAAAATCCGTATCAATATTAAAATATAACATAATTAGTCCTACCAGTTCCAAGGAATAAACTATTCAGTATACTGAGTTTTCTATCAATTTCAGATCGAGTGTTATTCAACATAGTGTCCAGAAAGTTGATCGTTGAACTGATGTGCTTCAGCTGCTCTATTGTTCTGTGATATTTTTCCAATGCATTGGCATGCTGTTCAGACAGATATAAAGACGACTGTTCTAAACAAAAATATAAATGAATGATTATATATTTAAATAATATATTATATATCATAATAATATTTATTATATTAACGATAAGTGAAAAAGTTTCTAATTGTAAAAACATATTTCTGTAATAATATATTCATGATAGATTAATAGCTATGACAGAGTGAGGCATTGTAATGAAAATCTGGGTAAGAATAATAGAATAATAAACTCGCTCATGTATAGATATTTTACAAATATTGTAGTGTATTTCCACGAGTACGAATTTTTCAAGATAAATTAAAAAAGACCTATATAATAAGTGATAGAGTTCATATATTACCTATTTTTGACGAAATATCTGCAACACTTTTATGTACTTCACGTAAATCGTTAAGCATTTCATGGTGATCTTTAGATCTTTGTTGTGTGTGTGTATCCAGTTGATCTGATGCCCATTCTATTAAAACAAAAATTGTAATATATACATACCCCAGTCAAATTGAAGCTAAAAAACCCATAAGTTTGCATTAAATCGCATATAGAGCTGAATATTGGTACATATGTTCTACATTACAAAATGTCAAAAGTCCCCACCAATCATCAAACATCTGCGATTTTTTAATTGAAAGTCATAGGTATAAAATTCTGGTTTTTCTCATTTTCCGCGAAAACCATAAAAACTATCCAAAAAAAACGTGATAGATAGAAATATTCATTATAAAATTCTCTACAAATTTGTATTCACGGTTTGTGAGATGTAGCCATTCGAATAGTTGAAAATTTATATTCTGCAACATATGCCGCTTTACAACGTCATCGAACTTGTAATAAAAATAAAAAATAACAATTCAGTTTGTATTTCGATAGTATACATTTAGTACTTTGAATTATCAAACTAAGTCATATATTAGTATCACCCTCTAATAACCGGTTAAGTATTCGTTTTAAATATTTTTATAATTACTATATTATTTACTTTACTTAGGCACCGGATACTAGTGCATGTTTTATGCAATAGTCTAAGTAAGTGCGTATCTTTCAATTATTTATTTATTATACATTTATACTTTCAACACAAAAAATACTGCTTATACACATTTATCTTGGTTATAAATCCATTACACTACCAAAGAAATAGACAAGGTTTTCTGCTCTCATCCGCATTCAAAGTAGCTAATTTGAGAATAATATGTACAACTATAAGACACGGTATAGTAGCTGCTGTTCGGCCAAAGCCTTTTTAATCAAGATTGCAATTGGAACTATCGTTTTTGTTATTGACATGCTGCATCAAGTGTTTTATACACAAGTTAGTTCGTTTTTTAACTTCCCGAAGGAGAAGTTTATGTTTTCATCAAAAAATCCGATTTGCTAATTTTATGTTTTCTCGACGTTTCAAGCCATTCTGAATCAAATGAGACCAAATTTGGAAAAAGTATGTGTGTGTGTTCTCAAAAAAACGGCTGGATCGATTTCAAAAATGTAAAAGCCATTCGATGTATCTCGATGAGGATTAGCGTTGATCAATTTGGCGCGACAATCAGCCAAGCCGTTTCTTTGTAAATAGCAGAAAAGTGAAAAAAATTTCGTCCACGTTTTAGCCCGCAGTTTTGAAAATTCAAAAACCGTTCGGAAGATATTAGTTAGAAATCGTGCTGATTAGTTTTTGGTAAAGATCGGCAGGGTCGTTTTCTCGTAATGAAGTGTTAAAAAATCTTTTTTTTCAACGATTTTCATGACTTTTTTTGACGGCAGATACCATAGTCCTTTAGATCATACTAAAATATTACGGCCCTACGACAAATCGTGAAATTTTAAAAATTCGTCAAAGTTTGCAAAAATTTGTATCGTTTTTTTGGGGTTCAAAAAACGCCTGAACCGATTTCAGAAATTTAAAAGGCATTTGGTGTTTGTCTGTAAGGGTTATCGTTTGTCAGTTTTCTACAACGATCTGCCGAGCCGTTTCTTTGTAATTTGGAAAAAACTTTTCGTCCACATTTAACCTCATACCGCCGAATAAATTTTAAAAAATCAAATACTACTCGAAAGATATTAGTTGAGAATGATACTGATTACTTTTAGGTAAAAATCTACCGAGCGATTTTCTTGCAATTAACTGTTGAAAAAAAAAATTAGCAAATTTTTATGGAGCTTTTTTTGGCGATATATATCATGGTCCTATAGAAGTTACTGAAATATTACGGCCTTAGGACAAGTAGTTTAAATTTAAAAATTCATCAAAGTTTGAGAAAATGAGTAGTTTTTTTGACGTTTGTTAAAATTAAAATTAGTCGATTTACTTGGTATAACGGCCTTAATGAACATACTAAACTATTAAAGTCCTACGAAAACTTATTCAATTATAAAAATTATTGATTTTTAAAAAATTGCCTTTAGAAAAATACTCCGAGTTAACGTGTTCGTTAACTTTTCAATGATGTGTAACAAATCCACGCGGAATACTTTTAATCACTCAAAAATTAATTTATTTTTTATTGATTAAATCGCGTATCTACACATATCGGGAAGTTCATGTAACTTTCCTCAAGGCAAAATACTAATACCAACTAGTTATATTATGTTGTCGCATGCATAATGAATCTTTGAAAATCCATATTAAAAGTATTTTCTTCCGTTGGTAGGTTTTTAGCATTAGTTAAAAATGTAACTATTTTGTGAAATATCTTTAAAATTAAAATAAGACATTAAACCTGTTTAGGTAAAAAAGTCTAGATAACAAATTTTTGAAAGACAGCGAAAAAGAAATTTTTACAATGATGAAGTAGCTGACAGTTTTACTGAACTAGTCATATAATTGTGTTTGAAATGTGTGTGTTTTGTTGTGACATAATTGTTATGGTTTTCACAATATAGTTTATATTTGCTCAAAGTCAAATTGGACCTTTGTGTCTCACCCTGCTCTACATATTTACTTCTTATTAAATTTACTTTAATTCATAGAATGTTACTTGAAACTTTTCGAAAGGCAGTCAAAGAAGAAATACTTAATTCATTTCCTATCTCTACTCGCAGAAATTTGAAAATTTTGTATACGCCCAGTAGTATTATTTACAATTATACACAAAATTCAGAATCTAAAAAAAATCTGAAAAACTTGAAACGTAATCAATAAGTCCAAAGACCAAAAAAGACTTGGATTGCATTATACCATAGGTTCGTATGATACTCAGTTCATATTATTAATTTAATATCATTATAGAAAATTAAAATAAAGAAGTTTGTTCCCAAATTAATAAAAATAAGTTTTTCTGAAGTTAAATTAAATTAAGAAAATTTTAATCAAAATTCAGTGAAAAACATTTATTTACAGTATGCGGGATGATAAATTATTTGATCAATAAAATAAATTACAAAATAGGGGTTTATCGTGAGAGGGTGAAATTTTAGAGCTGTATGTCTTTGTTCATTACGAATTATAAAAAAACATTGGGCAAAAAACTAAAAAAAATCAATAATGGTGGTCAACCCCAACCGATTCTCAGTCATATTTATAACATGAAAATTTTAAGATATCCGTAAGTTTTGAGTACCAAATTCACTATTTTCCGATTGACCGATTCTCAGTCATATTTATAACATAAAAATTTCAAGTTATCCGTAAGTTTTGAGTACTAAATTGACTATTTATCAGTTGAGAAAACTTTTCTGTTGGAAAAACTTTCGATTCCTATTGATAAGAAGGCGTGCTGTTAGTTTGATATTTGATCTCTGCGCAGCTAATGCAGCGCGGTTACTTTGAAAGTTCAAAGGTTTCAAAAAGTTATAAAACAAAATAAAAAAAATCAAAAAAATCAAAAATCACTCAAAAATTAATTTATTTTTTATTGATTAAATCACATATCGGAAAGTTCATGTAACTTGCCTGAAGACAAAATACCAATACCAACTAGTTTGGTTTGTGTGCATCATAAAATGAAATAACATTGTATTTGTAAAAAAATAATTAACAATTACAAATATAGTAACATTAGTAGTATTGGGAAATATTATATTTATTCAATTTTCAAATAACTTCAAGGAATTTAATGATTTTGATATGTAAATACTAATAGAAACATTCATGTGTGAGTATGTATTAGTGGAATATTTCCCGGCGGGGTAATTAATAATCTTTACCTAAAATTACCTCTTTACCTCTTTACCTTAAAAATTATAAAAACCGATACTGAGGAGATGGATGAGTAAACGGAGAGGAGAAAAGGGTGTAAACCAGCGATTCCCAAACTTATTTCACCTACCGCCCCCTTTCCAGAAAAAAGTTACTCAGTGCCCCCCTTACAAACTTTCCGAAGGAAAAGTTTGTTTTCATTAAAAAATCCGATTCGTTAATTTTATGTTTTCTCGACGTTTCAAGCCATTCTGAATCGAATGAGACTAACAATTGGAAAGCAGTATGTGTGTGTGTGTGTTTAGATTTTTTGCCGTAAATCGTCGTTCTCAAAAATGGTTGGACCGATTTCAAAAATTTAAAAGCCATTCGATGTATATCTACGAGGACTAACGTTTCTCAATTTTATTCGACGATCGGCCCAGCCTTTTTTTGTAAATCGCAGAAAAGTGAAAAAAAAAAATCGTAAAAGTTTTAGCCCGCAATTCTGAATCGATTTTGAAAATTAAAAAACTGTTCAAAACATATTGGTTGGGAATCGACCTGATTAGTTTTTGGTAATGATCGGCCGGGCCGTTTTCTTGTAATAACGTGTTTTTATTAATATAAGTAGTAGTAATTAATAAGTAGTAGTATTTTTTTAGATAATTTTTATGTTTTTTTGTCGGTAGATACCACAGGCTTATAGATCATACTAAAATATTACGGTCCTACGACAAGTCGTTAAATATTAAAAATTCGTCAAAGTTAGCAAAAATTGGTATCGTTTTTATGGCGTTGTCAAATTAAAACTTTCAACGATGTTTGCTTAAAAACGCATAGACCAATTTTAAAATTTAGAAGCCAATCGATGTATTTCGATTATAATTTAATGTGAAGGAAAAGGAGTGACGGGGGGCGTGCTCGTACCTACGGTAAATTTGTTCGCAAAAAGTAATAAAGGGAGTCGCGTTAAAATTCAAGCAATATTGGATTTAGACTCGGAAATTAATACAATATCAAAATCGCTATTCCAAAAATTACGCGTTAAATCTCAATCCACGAGCCTTAAGCTCCACGGTATTGTTGAAATTTTAACGAAATCGAATAATTTTACAAATTTAGAAATATTTAATGAAGATGGTACATATGCAAAAAATATAAATGCCTTTGTGTTTACGAAAATATCGAGTCAACTACCCGCGCAGCAAATCCAAAGGGTATGGGCGCATTGCCATACAGAATCGGCCCCACCCTGGTATTTAAATAATTTATACGCCATTTTATAGGTCTAAATGATAAAAACA